TTCGCAGGCCAGGGACATCAGATGGTTGCATCCGAAGGCCAGAGCAATCGCAGGCATGTGCGGCACCAGGTTGGATGCGAGGCGGGGCAGCAAAAATAGACCGGTGGTACCGACCCACTGGAAAGCTGTGCGGATAAATCGGGGAAAGGCCATGCCGCAGCTGTCGTCGGTGCCACGGCAGCCGTGCCGCTTGCATGTTGAACTGTGGGTGTGGGTGAGGGTGCTGCGTATGGCGGCAGCATGATGGGCACGGCAGGCGCAGTGCCGGGATGGAGGTGGTAGTCCGCCGTTTGCACACCCTGCCAGGCATTCAAAGTCGTACGCGGCAGGTGGGCAATTTGCCTGTACTTCTGGCACGGACAAGCCGTGTTGCTGCGCTTCCGTATTAGACATACCCATGACGAGAGGCTGCATTTCATTGGTCGGTGTCGGAGCATAGTACGGCGAGGGGTACCACATTTCGCACAACGCGTATGCAAGCGCCAGAGCTCGGCAATTCGGACCGCAGAATAACGCTTGGAGGTTGTCCAGCGCGAAGTACTGGAGGTGTGCGACTCCGTGCAGGTGTAGTGCCAATCGTCCGCTCTGCTCGATTTTGACGACTACCTCAAATACGACCCCACAGAAACAGTTGGGGTCAGTTTGTCGCATTGCTCCAGGCGTGAAGCCAAACAGGTGTTCCACCAACACCTCTTTGGTGGCGATGAGCAGCGCCGCACAGCTGTGCGGGTCTTCTTTGACGCGGCGCCACTTTTCCACCGTGCTGCTGATATGGGTCGGATGCCCGGCATCATCAAAATCTATGACCTGACCGGAGGCTACAACGGCACAGCTAGCGTGCATGTCCGCCGGGTTCAGATTGAAGAACAATGGCGGCCAGCCAATAGTGAGGGCAGCCGCACGCATCGTGGCTTTTGCACCGTTGTAGTAGGCATCCGTAAGGTCGATTCGTAGCAGGCTGGCGCGTGCGCCATCCAGGAGGGCACGCACCACGGGTGACTGTTGCGACAGCAGGTGCCGTCGCTGCGCATGACGGTACGGTAGTGCCAAGATGTCTGCCATGGTACGTACCACATCCCGTGGTACTAGTGCCGCTGCTCCACCCAGCCGTGGTCGCATGCGCAGGGCCACTCCTACCTGCGCCATGCTTTGCTGCCGCATGCTGATATCATACATTCGGGCAAGCAGCATCAAGTTACCGCTGAACTGCGCCCGTGGCACCCTCCGTACGAGGTGGCTGCAATACGAGGCGAACGACATACCCGGTGGCCGTTGTCCGGACAAACCATATGGAAACGAAACCGGGAAGCAGACGTTGAGGATGGCTGGATGGCGGTCATCCAGGATCTGAGCACCACGGCCGCCAGCAGCGAACGCGAGACGTGCACGCCCGGTGAGCAAGTCGTGCACCACGTTGGGCCGGTTATCAAAGTCGGTGCCGTCCGTCGGAACAGGAGCTGGTTGTGGAAGGACCACCTCCAGTTCATTCGGGATGCCCAGATTGGCATCAGCTGCGTTGGGTGGTGGGGGCGGATATTCGTAAGATGGGCAAATGGCACGTTACTCGAGTGACATCCGCAACGTTCGCATAAGACATGCAGCACTAACACGACGAATAGTGCACATCGGATATTCTTACCAGGATCGCCTGGTTGGCGCAGGACGACCGCGACAGGCGCCAAGCCTGTAGCACCAGCATCTATGATGGAAAATAAACACGGTTGCGCAGACGTACAAGGAGGTGAACAGAAGCACAGTTAATGGTTCGGAATCTAACACGTTCGGACGACACATACGGCAGCACTTATAGCATGTGAAAAACCGCAGCTGTATACAGCTGTATACAGGCTGTACAGGACAACGGTGTTACGGGTGCGGATAAAGAGTTATGTATGTACCGTTTTGCTAGGTTGGTACCGTACCGTACCCATACGTGCCGTGTACCCATCACACACATACCTGCCATGCGAGTGTCGGAGGTGGTCGTTCCAGGCGCGGGTACATCGGGACCTATAACAGATGCACGAGTACAGAATCACCATTGCCGGGAGGATGCATGCGAATCAGGTGGAAACAATACCGCGAGGTGGAAGTGAACGGACGTAGCAGCATTTATAGGTGGCAGTATTCAGTTGTCAACTTCACTGATGTATGCCGTACTTAACAAGTCGCACCTGTACGAAGCGGTGGTCCATAGGCGCCAGCATCATGAAGGATATCATTAGCTGTGCCGGTCGGTCCAGCTGTGGTGTCGTCGGCAGCTATAACACAGGAACATTAAGGTTGGAAGGACGTGCGTGAAGCAGGTGGAAGTAATAATGCCAGTTTGGAAGCGTCATATGCAGTATGCAGCCCTACGTCAGCTATGAAAAGTCGCACCTGTCTCAAGTGGTGAACCATAAACGCCACCGCCATCAAAGTTATTACCAACGATGTTTCCTTGCAACGTTTCATGCAGCTGCCGTACACCAGCAGCACCGGTACGGTCGTGTAGGAAGGTACTTCGCAGTACACCAGCAACTTCCGGATCGGTAGGACCGATTGCGGAGCGCAGCAGTGCTTCCGGTACTTGTGCAATGCATCCCATACGCTCATACTCCTGTATAGCTTCTTCATCCACTGCACCTTCATCTTCATCGTTATGTTGAAGGAAACGCACCCAGGCGACGACGACGTTGCCACGCACTTTCAGGCCTGGTGCACGGCGGACACGATCCAGCAAGTCCTGCCGGTCTCGGACTTGATCCACGCAAACCACCGTGAAAGCGCCAGCCAAATCCGCAACACGCGCGGGCAACTGGCCCCGTAGCATATTGGGGTCAGGGTTTACGACCGCGATGCCATGAGATTGAACGGCACATGGCAATACCTCGGGAGGGCGGCCCGCGAGATGTACAATCATGAGCTGCTGCATGAGACGGCCCCGCCCTAGCAGTTGACTCTCCACGAACGTGGGCGCAGGCAAGGGATCGCCCAGGTGATTAACAGATGGCACGTCACCCGGATCGAGTCGTGCCAAAGCCGCTTCAGGTATTCGGCGTGCTGCAACAAAAGCGGCGGGAGGTGGGTATCGGGCAGGCACAATTGAAAGATAAGGTGTTTAAACGAGAAGAAGAAGAAGAGCCGAAGGGGAAGGCCATACCGGCCGCACAGAGAAAACGGCTGGACGAAACAAAGGTGCTGAACAGCATGATCCAATGGACGGAGGGACTGGCTGTATAGGAGACAGAACAATTGCTTACCTGCGAGTGCCTTCTCGCACGAGGTGCAGATGGTGAATTCATCCGGAGCATCATCGTGTCGGAACACGGTCCGGTTCGGCAACTCTGTATCAAGACGCATGCAAAACGGAACCTCCACACTTATTGGGTCATCGACGCAAGGCCGCGGCTGCACCCGCGGTGGATGGGGTTGTAATTCCGGAGGTAGCTGCATTGTGGCCGCGTCATCTGCAGCACCTGGCTCATTAGTCCCGTTGTCTCCAACGTCGCTGTCAACTGCTAACGCATCTTCATCTACGAATGCCGCTCGATCAGGGTCACCACCGATGCCAGCACTACTCGCGCGTTCGGATCTGCCGATACGATACCGAGCCGGCAGAACCGGATCTGGCGGCGGTGGTGCGGTACCTTGGGCAGTGCAGGGCATGCGCCGCCAAGCCAGGGTACGCGCATGACGCGGCACTGCGGCGGTGCACATGATGTCGGCGCGCAAAAGGTCCACATTGGGAATGTCAAGCCAGGCACGGAGCGTGGACTGTTCCTCCGAGCACTGTTCAGAGCAGACGGCACACACCCGCGAAGGCATGCGTCGACGCAACACGGCGGCCATCCTGCTTGCAAGATGCAAGTGCTTTTCGTAGGGTACCTGCCGATCCACCGGGAGTTCACCGCCGGGCAAATCCTGCACGCGCCCTTCCGGAATGGCCTCCAGAAAATCAGGCGGCCGTGGGTGCTGGCCCTCGTGCAAACAGGGAAACCGCATGAGGTTCCGCAAGCGTTCAAGCAAGCTGGCTTGTGGATGCTGTATTGCATGCACCTGAGCACGGCCCTGTGCGTGTGCAGCGGTGTCACGCTCTTGTTCCGCAGCCCTGCGCTCTGGATCTTGACGGGCAGCAGCTCGTGCAGCGGTGTTACGCTGCTGTTGTGCAGCCCTGTGCTCCGGATCTTGACGGGCAGCAGCTCGTGCAGCGGTGTCACGCTGCTGTTCTGCAGCCCTGCACTCCGGATCTTGACGGGCAGCAGCTCGTGCAGCGGTGTTACGCTGCTGTTCTGCAGCCCTGCGCTCCGGATCTTGATGGGCAGCAGCTCGTGCAGCGGTGTTACGCTGCTGTTCTGCAGCCCTGCGCTCCGGATCTTGACGGGCAGCAGCTCGTGCAGCAGTGTTACGCTGCTGTTCCGCAGCCCTGCGCTCCGGGCCTTGGTGGTGGTGCTGCCCCACAGCCCAGCCCTCCGGGTCTCGGTGGTGGTGCTGCTCCGCAGCCCCGTACTCTGGGTCTTCACGAGCAGCAGCTCGTGCAGCAGTGTCTCGCTGCTGCTCTGCAGCCCTGCGCCGCGGATCCAGACGAGCATCCCGCATCCGAGCTGCATCCACGCTGAGGGGTGTGTTTGATGCACTTGTGCCTCTAAAATGAAAACCGCCAGCAAGTGTACCTAGGCGCTCGCGACCGCGAGTTCCGGGCCGCTGGGGTAAATCATTCGGTGTGTCTGCCATAACTGACGGAAGCCGTCTTAAGTCACAGCTTGCATTGGCGGCACACCAGCCAGTATACAGCCGCCCGCTTTCGTAATTTACAGGCCGGCGGCTTTCGTATGATTCAGGGCTCAGCCGCACTACTGTAAGTGAAGACAAATATAGCTAAGCGCATATCTGTGTGTGCGTCAAATTGGGTGTATAATTGCGCGTTTCGGTGTATTCTAAAGGAATCACGCGCCAAAATGCAGGTTCAATTGCACGGCTGGGTACATGTTAAATGTTAATTTGCGTGGTTCGGCGCGCTTGTGTATCGAATTACAATTAACAATCAACAACAACTCGGTGCGCTTGCGTGTCAATTCGGTGCGGCGCGCATTGCACTGTGCACGGTCCGAAAATATAAGAAAATATAAGAAAGAAGCGTGCGGGCGCCGAGCGACGAAGCAACATAAAAAAGGACACAACGACGCGCCGGCGCCGGGGTCGAACCGGCGACCGCGGCTCCCACAAGACATCGGAGCTAGCGGGCCCGACGAAGCGGCACACGGCCATGCTCCAGGGCGCCTTCCGCGGGGCCAGGTGTGGTGCGGTGCGGCGCGGGGCGCCGAACCGAACGAAGGAAGAAGACGAAAAAAGCGGCGACGGCGGGGCGCGAACCGGCGACCGCGGCTCCCACGCGGCGACGGAGCTAGCCTAAAAGGCGCGGCTCCGAAACCGCGGACGACACCCCGAAAAACGCGAAAACAGCAAGCGGCCACCCGGACGGACGGACAGACGGACAGACAGAAAGTTGGGGTAAGGTCTCCGTCCCGACGACGGAACGACTAAACGTCGTCCGTCTAACGTCGGGACTACGACTACAGCAAGCGGCCACCCGGACGGACGGACGGACGGACGGTCAGACTAGACGCGGGCTGCTTCGCCCGCGAGGGGGCCGTAGTCCCCCGGCTGGGCGGCACGAGTCCGACGTAGTGTGGCTTAGTATGTTTGAGTAATGCGCTGACACATATAGACGCGGTGCAATCCATGCGGTGCAGTGCAGTGCGCCGAAGGAAGGAAGGCCAAAAAGGTGGTGAACACTTACCGTGCGTGACTATGGAGACCTTGCAGGAAATGTTGTATTTAACGCCATCCAGTGGCGAGGGTCCTGCACGGAAGCGGCCACCGCCACCACCGCCACCACCGCCGCCACCGCCGCCGCCACCACCACCACCACCGCCACCACCGCCACCACCGCTTTGCAACGTGGACTGACCTTGTATCGTGTAGGACGTGCAGACGAGGATGGCGATGAATAGCCATCGATGGTGATGAACAACCGTTGATGTGCCGAGATGTTGTCGTGGGATCGAGCCGGCGACTGCGGCTCCCACACGGTGACAGAGATAGCACGATGATACAGCACGACGAAGCACGACGAGCCGAGACATGGCTAGTGGGGTGCGCGGTCTCAATGGAAATAAAAAAACGCGGTACAACGACCGACCGCACAAACCGTCCCGCGGGTCAGGTTGTGTTGTGCATCACACTTCGGTGCATGTTGTGTTTCTATTCCTTGCTATTCTTGCTATCGTTTCTACTCACTGCTATTCGTCGTTTCTATTCATTGCTACTGCTTTGCAACGTGGACTGACCTTGTATCGTGTAGGACGTGCAGACGAGGATGGCGATGAATAGCCATCGATGGCGATGAACAACCGTTGATGTGCCGAGATGTTGTCGTCTGGCGAAAATCGGTTAGCGAGCCGATGCATGTAAAGAGGCCAGCTTCGCGAAATACCGAGCAGCTTATGTCGGCAGCGCAAGTAGTCTACAACCGCCAGCTTTAAAGCAACCGTATCTGAAAATAAGTAAACCGGATGCGTATATATGCGGTGCAATTATATTGTAGCGAGGCAACGTCCATGAACAAAACTGCTTCACAAAATGCCGTACAGCCTACACGGACAACGTTGGACAAGCACTGCACAGTTCAGTGCGGTCAAATTGCGTGGTTCGGTGTACATTAAATTGCGCATTGAATTGCATGTTTAATTGCACGTCGAGTTGTGTGGTGGGTTGCGTGTTAAAATGCGCGAGTCGGCGCATGTCAAATTGCGCAGTGCGGTGCAGCCAATGTTTTGCGATTTGCGCGTTAAATCGTGGTGCAGTGCGGTGCGGTGCAGTGCGGTGCGGTGCGGTAAGCAGTCCCGAACGAAAAAACAAAAAAAAACTCATACACCGGGATCGAGCCGGCGACCGCGGTTCCCACTCAGTGTCGGAGGTAGCGCACACCACAAGCAGTGAGCGCCGATGCTCCGGGGCGCATTGCGCGGGTCCAGGTGTGGTGCGGTGCGATGCACTGCCACACGCAGTGTGGCGCGGTGCGGTGCAACGCGGTGCAGTGCGGTGCGGCGCGGACACCGAAGCGGTGCACGGCGATGCTCGGGGGCGCATTGCGCGGGCCCAGGCGTGGAGCAGTGCAGTCCGGGACGACGCGGTGTGCGGTGCACGGTCCAGAACGAAAAGAAATGAACAATAAACGACGACGACGCGAAAAACGAACCACGCGACGACGAAGGCAGCGCTCCCGAACGAAAAATAGAAGAAAGCGGGCGCCGGGCGACGAAGCCAGCGAGCCGCAACGTAAACGTAAAAAAAAGACACAACGACACGCCGGCGCTGGGATCGAACCGGCGACCGCGGTCTCCCACTCCAGGTCGGAGCTAGCGCGCCCGACGAAGCGGCGCACGGCCATGCTCCGGGGCGCCTTCCGCGGGCCCAGGTTTGGTGCGGTGCGGCGCGGGGCGCCGAACCGAACGAAGGAAGAAGACGAAAAAAGCGGCGACGGCGGGGCGCGAACCGGCGACCGCGGCTCCCACGCGGCGACGGAGCTAGCCTAAAAGGCGCGGCTCCGAAACCGCGGACGACACCCCGAAAAACGCGAAAACAGCAGAGCGGCCACCCGGTCGGACCGACGGACGGTCAGACAGACTAGACGCGGGCTGCGTCGCCCACGAGGGGGCCGTAGTCCCCCGGCTGGGCGGCAGGAGTACGACGGTCCGTGCGTGTACTACACCCGTGTGGGAGTCGAACTCACAAGTGCAAGGGATGCACGAAGGGGAGCATCGTTGTCGTCATGACGCGTGAGTACACCAGGCAGTGGATGGTGTTGAGTGCGGCAATCTTGTAAGCAGTGTACACCACACGATGAGTATTGTGTGAGAAGCTGGCGGTGCCGAAGAAGTCGTCGCTGTCATGCAGCAGTTACCGAACTATGACGAGTACTTCGCAGACGATAGTGACCATGTGGTGTACGCTGCATACGACTGCTTGGACGTTGACGTTCGCCGCACAAGTACGCAGGATAGCGCAGGTATGCCGTACAATACGTGCAGAGGCGTGCGGGAGATATCGCTGCCACGTTGTGTGGCCGTGTTGGTGTTCGGTGCGTTGGTCATAGCTGCCAACGTCATGGCGGCGGTGGGGGTTGGGCAGGATCGTCCGCTGCAGCAGTTTAGGCGCATGGCTTGCTTTTGGTTGGATATCTTCGTAGGCCAGGAATGCCGAGGAATGCATGACATACGAAGATATCACACCGATGTGATATTTTCGTACGCCAGTAATATTTCGGCCTTCATGGCATATGAAGATATCAAGCTGAAGGCGAGCCGTGGAGGCGAAGTGCTACAGCGGACAATCTTGCCCAGCCGCCACCGCCACCATGACGTTGGCAACGATGCTGACGACCAACACGCCGAACACCAACACGGCCAACCAACGTGGCAGCAATAGGTGCTGTGTACCGCCCAGCCGCCATGACCGGGAGTCTGGCCGCCGCTCCTTCATCTCCAGTTGGAAGCCGCCTCCAAGTCGAGGCGGCAGCATGAGTACAACGGGCAACAGCGCAGTTACCACCGCCTCAACAAGTAAGCAAAGTAGGGCAGTCAAAGGCGCACGGAGCAGGGACAGTCGTGCTGTCCGGCGAGGCAGTGGTGTTATCATGGTACGGTAGCGATGCAGCATGTCATATGTACACACACAGTAGTACACCGGGCTACACCACACCGCCCTGCTGTCCAGTCGTTGTGGATCAAAGTCATACCGGGTCAGTAACCAGGTAAGACTTGGGTCCACACCTTGCGGATCCGCGTCTTACTGGGTTACTGACCAGGTATGACTTGGATTCAGAAGGACCGCATAGCAGCCAGCAGCAGGTGCGTGTGGCCGTGTGAGTGTGTGTGGTGTCGGGGGGGGAGTTTTGCGTGCAGCAGTAGTGTGCCATAATAACACCACCGGCTCAGCGGTTAAATAGCTATGTGACGACACCGCTGTTGGTGTACCACGTAGGCATTGTTATGTACGATTGCAAAGTGTATGTAGGCTTGCCGGTGTATGCCATGACATGCGTCGATGCATAACCTGTTATGCCCCGTCATCGTGTCGAACCTCGACCAACGAAATCGTAGAATCGCCTGCAGCAGCGTCGGAGACTGTAGACCTTGTGCCGGTCCTAGAATTTCGAGGGTCGTGGTTCGAAACGAGGACAGTGACAGGGCAGAACATAAGAGAGGAAGTTATGCGTCGGCGTATGTCAGAGCAGAAACGATGGTGCATTGAAGAGTGCACGGTGCACGAACGTGTGTACCGTCCGCTGAGGCAGCGGTGTTATCAACGTTAAATTCTAAATGTTCTACACAGTTTAATATTAAATACAGTCACCATCTGCGTCGGGGACTGTACAGCCTACTTAAGCAGCGCCAGCTTCGCAGACGATAACGACCGTGTGGCGTACGACTAACGACTAGACGACTAACGATTAGACGCCGACGTTCGCCGCACAAGTACACAAGGTAGCGCA